CAGAATTCTCAACGTTTTACATGTTTTCAGTAAAATCGAAGAGTTTGAACGAAATTTATTTAGTTTTATAAACTATTATTATTTATTGACTTCCCGCGCATAGATGTTAGTAAATAACATTAATTACTATAGTGTTGTTTTATTCATTACTATTGAATATAGTGGCTCCTATTAATATTCGGATACGAAATATTACAAGTTTGTGAAAAATCAATCGTATAATGATAAACCTCGATTCTCATTTTGAAGCTTGAAGCCTCTAGTTTTAAAATGCATCCTTCGTTTTATTCTAAAGTGTTTTTAAGCAGCGGATGGGTAAATAAAAATATTTTTCTCCTTGAAAATTCTATAAATTCTCATGAAACGTTGGAAACGTTTCTACAATGGATTTGAAAATTGAAGCTTTCTCTTTACAATGAGCTCTGAAAACTTGATATATGATTTTTTTCGCCATTTTCTTTTAATATTATTATTATTATTTAGACGACGTTATATTTGTCTGATAGTTGAAATTCAATAAATTCATACAGTAAGTTTTGAGGGATTGTTGTAGAGGGGAGACTTCAATCTTCAAACCCATTGTAGTTACCACAAAATTTTGCCAATATTTTTACGCACTATGATAATTTATAGCAGTTTCGAGAAAAAAGATATCTTCATTTTGCCATCGACTACGTAATGCAGAAATATCTTAAAATAAAACGAGCGATACGTTTTGAAAGTAGAGATTTCATGCTTTAAAATGAGTTTATTACTTTTGTAAAATTGTAACAGTTTCAATATTAGTATTTGAATATTAATGGTATATTGCGAGAGTGATTTTATTGCATATGATGAGTGATCGAGCACTCAGTTGCAAGAGACATAATTAAAAGAATTAGCCCATTTGGACTTTTAAAAATATGTTGTGAAAGATTTTTATTATGGAAAGAAAAATTGATACGAAAACGGTATTTGTTTTAATGAAACCAAAAAACGGAAATAGAAATTATTAATATCTACGTGTGAATACTGTGTAACAAATATACTTAAACTTATTGTATACGTATGAAATTTAACAGTTGATAATATTGCTTCTTAAATTGCGTTTAGACTCCTCAATTTTATTAAAAACTTGTAAGATTGGTTTCAATTCAATGGTCTTCTCGATTGTACTATGAAAGTTGGGACTCAGTATGTATTAAGAGGTTTAAAATTTTGTATATCTGTTTGGTCACGTTTCAAAACAACATAGTAATTTTTATATGATTATTGTTAAATACGTTTCCTGCAGATATTACACTTGTCTTGAAGAAGATTTTCATCTGTGATAAATAAAAAAAAAGTGATTATCTCCTGAATAGAAATTTTTTTAATAAAGCAGAAATTTGTAATTTTTTTATCCGATAAAAAGAAGAAACTATTATCCATATTGATATAGTTATAGATAACATAGTTCGCAGGAATAATAACTTTTATACAGATTAAATTCATTTTGTATATTTTTTGTGATATTTATATTTACAATGTGAATTTTGTGAACATTGAAAGTGATGCACAGATTTATAATAATTTTAATAATAAAAAAGATCATTATATGAAAACCACATTACGTTGTTTCGAAATGACAAATAAATAGATATACAAAATTAAAAAGTTCTTAAAATTCAGAATATATAAATTCATATTCTGAATATATAAAATATATTCTACATATAAAAACAAGATTAAAATATTATGTAGCAAAAAGCCTATATATTTATTAAAAAGTAATAAACTTGTCTATTGATAAATATGGTCAATAAAGAAGGACTTCTAGATTACCAAATCTTACGTATTCAGATTTTTATAGACATATCTTATGGAAAAATATTTATTATCTTTAAAAGTAAAAACAGCACAATACAGAAATATTTACACAAAATGAATTGATTACAAGAATTGAAACTATGATTTTGAAGAAATAGGACAAAATCGACATAAAATTCAGTCCAAAGTCAACAATAAATCCAATATTAGTTTTATATTAATAAAGGGGGATGATGTTTCGAAATGCAAATATATTTCAGCTTTACGTTTCATATATTTTTAGTGATTTCAATTTCTTAGTGAAGCATTTATGGGTACATTTTTACCACATAATTATTTAGTCCCATTTTCACTCTTACTCCAGAACACACTACCTATGGCAAAGTTTAAATACTAAATTTCGGAAGACACGGTATATACTTAACAATTGGCTTCTGGATTTTTATATGTTTTTATTTAAAATTTAAATTTAAAAGTGTAAAAATGCGCAGAGGGATGCATATATAAAAATACAATATAAAAGACACGTGGAATAAAATACTCGTTGTAATTCTTAGTAAATAAAACAGATTTTCGCTTAGATTCTATTTCTTTGCTTGTATTCAGAAAAATATAAAATTTCGTAAATATCTACAGAGCAGTAATCTAAAACAATCTAGTCTAGTAAAAAGATTACTAATTCTCACACATACTATATAGAGAAATTTTTTTTTCACCATTGTATGTACATGTATCTTTTTTATTTTGAAAATTTTAGTTTATAAAATAGCTTATTGTTTTACTGTTGTTTATGCATCTTATGAGAAATTCACAAATGTATGTAACACATAAATATATATAATATCTGAAGGTGGATATTATATATATTTACTTATTAACATTTAGTAAGTAAAACAAATTTCCGTTTAAAATTCTACAAAGATTTTTAGTTACAATATAAATTATAAATTATATATATTACATGTACAATTATATATATACATATAATTTATAGTTATTAAAAATTATATATATTACATGTACAATTATATATATACATATAATTTATAATTATTATAAATTATAATTACATATATTATTTTATATTATACTATATATATTATATTTCATTATGTATTTTTTTATATTTTATTATGAAATTTCTTTAATTAAACTATAATATTCGTGAAACAATAAAATGATCTCCCGCCAGCTAATTTATCAAATCGATTTACTTATAACAGTTTCCAAACTTTAATCTGGAATAAAACTAAAATTACTTTCTTTTCCTATAGATACTTATACAATATAATTCTAGTTATAGAGTGTTAATTTTCTTCTGTGTTATGTGTATAATTCTAGTATTTACGAAACCATTCTAAATTTGTGCATAATTAACCCTACTTTGATTCATTCTCCACGCAGTAATTTTTTTTTTAACGATAATAAACATCTTTGCTACATTCTTTTGGTGATTTTGGGCCTACTAATATTTTCTTTAACATAAATAAATATCTACCGTCTGAACAGTACAGATATAAGAGAAGCATCATTGATGCATGATTTCTCGTTTCAATCGTATGTTAAGAATTTTTTCTTTTTTTTTAATTTTTCAAAATCAAATCAAGTTTTGTTTACTAAAATGAGAGCTTGAGAAAGATTTAGATAGAACAATTTTTTATTATTTGAGAAATTCTTTAAAACTAAAATTAATACAATCATAAACAGTATTAATATATACAATCATAACAGTCAAATAAATAAATTAATATGTCAATGTGTAAAAATGGGATACGATTAATCGATTAATGTTAATCAATAAATATAAATATCGATTAATGTTAATCAATAAATATAAATAAATTAATGAACATGAAGGATTCGAAAGCCAATCATTATCGATTTATGTCATGGAAATATCTCTTTTTTTTTTATTAAATCTTCAGTCGATTGTTCAATCTACCATAAGATTGTAATAATTACATGTATTATAATGGTCATATCACAATGACTAAATTGTCTTATCGATTGAAAGTTTCGTCAATGAAAAAGTATTATATTCATATGCTCTGTACATATCGATATACAAAGTGATTCAAATTTTAGTGTTTAAACGTTTGTACGTTCTATAAATGAAAATAAGATTGAAATATCAAAAGGCCGATTTTAATGCTTTATTAAAAAGTTCTAGCAAAAGTAATGAAATGAGAATTTATACGTATCGTATTTTCGTGCATTTCGAAGTATTACCTTCCTTTATCAGTCTATAATAAATTTGATATCGAAGTTCTATTGAATCTACTTTGGACCCAATTTCATATCAACTTTGTAGAATTCCTTTGTACGTAGTAATTTTGTAATGTTCCTTTCGAATCAATTCTTTTTTTGCGAATACTTCTGCACCGTAAGTTTCTGCGTTCGAGGATAACGAATATTTTTCCATAAACAGAAATCTAAAGTTGTCTGGTGATCTAAGAGACCAGCAGTTTCTCTCGAGGCTGTTCGTATTGATGAATGTTTGTCACACTTCGTACTTTTTATTATAACTTTTTAATGAAGCATTCATACTACATGAGGTTTTTTGCTACATGATATTTCAGTCTTATTTTTACACGCTGGCAAAGTTTGAATACTAAATTCAAACTTTATATTTAACTTTATAACCTAACTAACTATATACTTAACTCTTGGAACACCGTGTGAATATATGACGATGTCATGAATAATGGTGTATGATATAAATAATGGCTTCTATAATTATATAGTCTAGTTGGTAAAGTAAATTTAATAAAATTTAATAAAAAAAATAGTAATTAATTTTTAATAGTAATTATCATAAGCAATAGTAATAGTAATTGATTTTTTTAATAGTAATTATCATAAGCAATTATATGATATAATAATTTTATAACAATATTAATAATGTATTATAATTTCATTATATTATTAAAATACACAAATTACTATTGTATTATATTGTATTGTTATAAGTAAATGACTAATTATAATTACAATGAGTAATTACCATTAAAACCATTATTAATTATTATACTTTCTTCAGACAGTAATTGCTTCGATCTTTAATAAAAAAAAAAGAAAGACGTATGTACGTCGATTAGCATCCCAGTCCTTCGAAAATAAAATTCACAAATATACAATACAAAAACCGGCGAATTTTCGTGGGTTTTCACAATGATAACTATCGCAAACTGCATCGGTGAATTTCTGTGCAGGAGTTACGGAGCAAGAGACCTTTTAAGATATGGGACAGCTGGCGTAACGTAAGAAAAGGACTGTGCGTTAGTAATTTCGAGGAACTGATACACCAGGGTAAGAAGCCTGCCCTCCGAAACCTCGCTGATATTCGCTGGTGGAAAGTATGAAAAAGAGTAGAAAAATATATCACGACAATGACTCCTTATTACCTAACCCCGCAGAACGAATCCAGGGTAAATTTCTAGTTTAGCGACTTTTCCCAATTTTGATGCTCTGTGTTTTTTCAATGGAATACGAATGAAAAAGAAATGCCAGATATGAATATGGAAGATCGGAACAAAGCGAAAAGAAAAAGAGAGAGAGAGAGAGAGAGAGAGAGTTTAGCGAAATAGGCAAAATTGGGAAAAGCTGCTAAGCTAGAGATCTACCCAAATCCGTCTTTTGCCTCGTCGATGCTCGGATCCCTCGCTTCTTTAACCCCTTAAGCACGTATGACGAAATGTTTCGTTATGCCAAGAAAACAGTTTTATTGCTTTTATATATTATCGTTACGATATGTATAGTTTGTCTCAACTAAAGGCGTGACAATATATTTCGTCATCACAAAGTGTTTACGGCCTTACGAAGGGTGACGATATATAATCTCGTTCAAAAATGGTAGGAGACACCCTTTATTTTTAACCCTTCGAACTGAGTCGTCAACGTCCTCAGTGAAATATCACTCGTGAATTTTTCGAAGCAAATTTTCATTCCTCCCGAAAAATGTTAAATCTTTTAAAGGTTCGATTTAAAAAACCAATTGTGCAATATAGCAAAGGCTTCGTTAAGTAATCCAAAATTTTTTTACATTTCTTTGGAAATTTGGGAGAGCAACGAAGTTAGTTCTTTTCCTTTTTCGTGCTTCAGTATTTATTGTAGATGAAGTTTTTTTTTAATTTGCGCGTGTATTTGTGGGAACAAACGAAATTTGTATTCGTACCAACGTGTCATTTACAAATTAATAACACGCGAAAATAATATTAGTAAAATGTTCATTGTACACTTTTATTCAAAATTCTTGAAACGCTTTTTATTAAACGATTAATAGGTAATAAAATTTTTTAATTTCTTTCATTGTTAATATATTAATATATTAACACCTGGCACATTCTTTCTTGTGTAAAGTATTATCTAACTTAATAGTTCTAGTAGATAGTATAACTTTTCAATTTTGAAACAAATATAATTGTCCTAAGGTTTTTTCTAGCGGGAATATACGTAGTCATCTTGTGGAATCAATTATCCAATGGAAATATAGTTATTTTAACTTCGGCGCGGAAAAATTAAAGGATTAAATAGAGAGCTCAGAAATCAAACAACGTAAGTCACGTTTCATTGAAAATAGTGCATTTGCTTCTTTATTGCCAAAATCTTCAGTTGATGGAAGAGTTTAATTATTATAATATAATCGTTACAATATTGTAACTAAACTGTTTCATTGACTACTGATTTTGATAATAAAAATATGATTGCACGACACAAATCATTTTTAATGGAAAATGACTTACATTAATTGGCTTCTGAGCACTTTAAATAATTTACGACGTAACGCAACGTGCTTTCTTTTGATATGCTAGATATAGAATGTTCCAGTATTGAAGAGAGAAAAGTGAAAAAATATATCAGAAATAGTGAATAAAATTTTTTCATTCAAATCATCATTCTCGAGAAAATGAAGTTCGAAAAAAATGATCAGATATATTTGAATTTCTCTAATTCGGATGACCAATTGATAAGTGGTTATTTTATCGGCGAAAATAAATGAAAAATGTAAAACTTCTTCATTCCTGCCTCATTTTCATGAAAATCGAGTTTGAATATATTTAATTAAAAATTGAGCAAATTCAGCAAACATGTACTTGATAAATTTTTCTCGAAAACGAAGCGTCTTATGAAAAAATTGCATTCTTTCGACTTATTTTCACAGGCAGAATAATTTCCCGTTCGTTTGATCCTTTCCAATTCAGAATGATCTAAATTCAAGTATAGTTGATAAATTCTCGAACTTTATTTTTCTTGAAAACAAAGTCTTCAAATAAAAAATTTATTATTCCATTCTCGATTCATTCCTTCATATAGTATCATTCTCTCTTTGATTATATCTTTAATACTGACACACTTTGTATATTGACAGAAAATTAACGCGAATTGTAACCGAAAGGGATTCCATATGGTTGAAAAAAAAAGAAGAAAAAAGAAGAATTATAGGACGATGAAGTGTTTTTTTTTTTTTGAGTTTTTGAAGAAAGAATAATGTGACGAATATTCTTTATATATGGAAAGAAATGCGTTTCTTACGTTCGAATCGAATTAATCTTTGAATTTGTTGGGTCTGCAGATGACTGTGATAATTAGATTCGGGATTTTTGTGAATTTTAAATTTTTAATTTAAAATTGCATAATGCAAAAAAACCAGTAAGATATTCTTTTTGTAATAAATTTTAATCAATTTATAAAGGTTTGATTAATTTACAAACTTTGATTAATTTATAAGAAATATATATAGTAAATTTTAGTCAATTTTCATCAATTTATTTTTATAGTTTTTCTTAAACATTATTGATTAATTCTCGAGTTATTATTGTTGGGTTCATGCATAATTAGATATAATAATTAAATTGTGAATTTTTTTATATATGTAGAACTGTAAAAATATAATACAAAAAAAAGAAATACAAGAATTGGGAAATATAAGATAATTATTTTACAATAATAATCTAATTATTTTTTATTATTTTTAATTAACTTGAATTACAAAGTTGATATCCACAGATGACTGTAATAATTAGAATGCGGATTTTTGTGTATTTATGAGAAATTTAAAATCTTATTTTAATTTTAATTTAAAGTCTTATGTGATGAAAAAATTACTATTTTTAGAAAAATAGAAGGAATGAAAGATATAATTATATCACTTTTGTAATTAGTAATAAACCATTTATTCAAATAATTACAAAATTAGATGGGCATAAGAGATAAATATAGAAATAGGAAAATATATAGTATATAAAAATATAAATACAAAAAAATATTTAAATATAAAATATAAAAATATAAAAAGATATATAATTAAACATTCAAAACATGGTATTTGCAATAATTAGACAGTTTATATAAATTAATGTTTTGTTGAATATAATTGAGAAAAAAAAGAATATATATATATATAAAGCTAAATAATAATTTTTCTAATTACTAAATATTACGATATATATTATATAATTTTGAATATAATATTTCAAAAATGACCATAAATATATAAACATTCGCAATAGTTATAATATTCGACAAGTAAAATAAAATCTTCGCTTAGGTTCTATTTCTTTGATTAAATATCATTTAAAACATCCACGTCAAATTATTAACTTCAAAAATAATTTATGTTAAATTACAAATATTTAATTTTGTTTGTACTATTTCTTTGTCATTATGTTATGTATATTTTGTAATATAATGTAAATAATTTAATATAATTTTAATTTTTTAGATTATTCACTTATTTTAATATTTTATATAATTTATAATTTATATTTATATAATTTTAGATTGATGTTATGTTATTAATGATGTATATGTATTTTAATATAATTTTTAATTGATGTTTTATTATTAATAATATGTGTATGCGTTAATATTTGTATTATTTTTATATTGTATTGTCAATAAAATTCAAAATTCGAGAATAAGTGTTCAAGTATAAGTAATTTAATTCTGAATTATTATAGTTTCCAATAGTCGGATGATACCAAAGTTAATTTTCGAATTATTAATAGCAAATATTAACATATTATTAACATATTATTAACAAATATTAACATATTATTAACATTAAATAAATAAGTAAATATATTTATTATAATACTTATTTATAATAAGTATTTATATTTATATTATTATGTTTTATATATATATATTATTTTTTATTTATTGATATTTTTTTAGTTTCTATTTTATTTTTATATTATATTCGATTATTTGAGTTCATTATTTTTATTTATTGATTAATAATGTATTACATTATAATACATTATTATATTATTATACATATTACATTATATTTCTATTACGCTATTAAAAATAAAATTTAACGAAATTAAAATTCTAAAATTGGGTAATTTAACAGTTAATTGTCATAGTTCCCAATGACCCGATAATATCGAGTATCAATATAGAATTAACCTTCGGATTATTATTAACACGTTATTAATAATATGTTGTTATTACCATATTATTACTTATTTATTAATATCAATTATTATTTATATTTTCATTATATTACTTTTATTTTTTATTTATATGATCATTAATTAATTCCAATTAGATTCAAAATTGTAACGAGTAATTGTTATTATTTATAATAAGCAAATAATATCCTCTACAAGAAGATTAAGAATTAACCTTCGAACTATTATTACGATATACTACATTATACTTGTATAATTTTTAGTTATTAATATTTTTATATTTTTATCGTACCACTTTTTTTTCAGTATTATTATACTATATTTATATTATATTCGTGTTATGTTATTATATATGTTAGTCTAAATTATTAATTATTAGAATTAAAAATTGACTTCTAAAATATATTGTAAATTCGATAAAATTGAAAACTGATTCATTCTAAAATACATATCATAAATTTTACATTATAGCACTCAAAAGATAATAGTATCAGTTAAAAATTAATATTATAGATTCGATTCAAACGTCAGATAAATATTGTATGTCCCATTCGTTGTTTAATCACAGTCTGTTTTTCTTTCTTTTTTCAATCACAGTCTATTCCTTGTTTTTTTTATGGTAATAACACATAACATTACTCCCATAAATTACTCCATTACTTCAATTTAAATTTAAATTTTAAATTTTTGGCAAATTGTTAATATTTAAACTGTTTTAACACGTCCTGAAAAAGAAATCGTACAAGAATAAACTTGGGCTTGTTTTAAAGAAACGCGAAGCCTCTACTTTCACGAAGCCTCTCATTCCGAGTTCATTTTTTCCACGGATGTTTTTTCATCACGTAGCAAATGGAAAAGTGAAGATACTCTTTTTTTTTATCGAAAATGCTGCAAATTCTCTAAAAACGTTAAAAAGTTTCTCTCTCGTAACTGAAATTACTATGGATTGAAGGCTGAAGTCTTCTCTTTACGATACTCTTTTAACACTTGACATACCATTTCTTGTCGTTGTTTTATTAAATTCTGAATATTTTGAATATTAGACTTAGAAAAAAACCCAACATTTCGTCGCTCAAGTCCAGTATTCAAAGTTCAATAAAACAACGACAAAAGATCCAAAGGATGGCCGTAAAAAAAGGACTTCAATCTTTAAAATTGTGACAGATTTAGTCGCGAAAAAAATTTTTTAAATATTTTCAGAAACGTTTGAGTTCACGGCACTTTCAAAAGAAAAAGAAAGCATCTTCATTTTTTCACTTGATGAAACAACTGAACTCAAACGCTTCAACGCTTCAAAATGGATGCAAGTGAATCGTCGTGCGATATTCTTTCCACAATGTTATAGCAGTTTAAATAGTTTTCAAAAATTTAACACAAACCGATTACATTTATGAGAGTAATTGTCCGCCAATCGCTCATCCAACGACTAATCGCTGTTTCATCCTTTCTTTCTCTCTTTTCTCGTCATTTCAGGTAAGGAGAAATTGGGCGTGCCTCAGAACGAGAATGTCTCCGTAGTGTTGGAATCGGACGGGACGCAAGTGGAGGACGGTGAATACTTTAAAACACTAGCGAACAACACGATCCTATTGTTGTTGCGACATGGTGAACGTTGGTGTCCAACTGGAGTCGACATCATACGCGCCGGTACCTATCCGAGGAATAGCCATTATCACACTCCGGATTTTTATGCATTTTTCCTTTTTTCTTTTTCTTTTTTTTTTCAATTAGATTTCAATGCATTTTTATATACAGTAGCTAGCAAAAATATTTGTACGTTTTCCACTTGGAGGATCTTTATGCGTGTATTGAGCGTGTTGAATTTTAATTAGCATCACACGCGTTATGTTTATATAAAATATAGGAACGAAATCTAAAAATGTACAGAAGTTATGAAATATTTGTTATGAATACATTAGTAGTCAGTTTTATTCGCATAGGTGTTCTTGATAATACATTAAATATTGTTAGCTTATTAATTATTATTATTAACACATTAAATATTCATAGAAATATAACATAATATTACGTTATAATATAATAATAATTAATTATAATAATAAAGAATAATAAATATATATTATGTAATATTATCATGTAATTGAAAGAAGAATATTAATATATATGTATATGTAATATATGATATATTATATACAATATATAATATTACATTATATATAATAACTAATATTCATGAAAAATCTGTCTAATTGAAAAATAACTTATTCATTGTATTTCTCTACAAACATATATTTATATCTTTCACCAAAATATTATGTTATATTTAATAACATTGACATTGTTAATTCAAATACTTTAAATATTGATAAAAGCAACTTCAGAAGAGGGATAAATGTATCTGTCCTAATTTGAGATTCTAAAATAATTGAGATGGTGATATGCTTCTAGCTACATTCTAGAAGTTTCTATAAATTTCATAAAATATCAAACATTCATATTTGCATTTATTATATATGTGTTTCTTGCTTATATATTTATATACTATTTAATTGTATTTAATTTAGTGAATCATTTAGGCAGTTATTGCAAGAAATAACCAAATCGAAAATGTAACAAAAATATTGATCTTTTAACCAAATCTTTTAGCACTTGAACTAAATATTCCGCAACTTCTATATATATTTTTAGAATCGTTGAAAATTTCATCAGTATAATCATGATTGTGTCATTATTAGACTATATTATTTTTATATATTTTTAAATTATACACAATTGGAAGGAATGGTTAAATAGAAAATTATTTCTTCGAATTGTAATTAATACTATTTTTGGATATTTTACATTATATATATTTATACATACATACATATTATATAGTACATATATATACAATGCATATAATACATATATGCATTACACATACATATACATATTATATATAATATATATAATATTATATAAATATATATATAATACGTATTTTTTAAATCTTCAAATCTATAAATGCATAAAATTCCGCAGTCTAGTAATAATAATGTTAATGAAATTCCAAAATGCGAAGTACATGTAATACATATAATAGATATGTATACTGATAAAAGGTATCCACGAGTATACGAATACTTTTGTGAGTAAATTATAGAATACTTCAGATGAAAAGCGAGTATGATAATACAATTATTTTCTAATGTATTAACTGAATACTATGATTCTAACTGAAAGGTCTGTTGGCACGAAAGAACTATTGTATCGTTCATTAGATTATTTTGAACATAGTGCAAAAATGTGCATTAATTAATATTTCAAAGAATTAGAAACTAAAATTTTCACAATTAGTTGACTTTGATAAACGTCGATTTAGATCAGAAAACAAAGACCAAGTGTCCAAAATCTAAACAGAATCTATGGAAACAATTACAAGAAATAACGAGAGACTTTAGAAAAGATTCATCAAAAGAACATTACGATTAGTTGGGATGGATATATTGACGAATCTATGATGAACCTAATTGAAAATCTATAAATATTATTTTCTGTATTTATTATAATAGTATTTTCTAAAATAATAGATCTATCGATATCTACCAATACCAATTTTATTAAGAAATAATTATATAGCCGCTAGTCATAAGAATTCTCAACATTTCACATGTTCTTACGTTGGTAAAATTGAAAGATTTAAGTTTAATATTTAATTACAAGTTTTATTAATTACGCATATCTATACATATATATATATATATATATATATATATATATATATATATATATATATATATATATATATTAGTAAACAATATTATTATTACAATGATATTTTATTATTTGTTGCTACTGAATATACAGGGTGTTTCATAAATCGTGGTACAACTATCCAGGGAATGATTCTACGAGCAAAAGTCTAAGTCGAAAAAAGAGAATAAAATTGATTTATTCTCAAGAAAATCGAGTTTGAATATTCATTTAGTATATCATGCTCAGTCATTGTACAGCCATTTTGAAGAATATAAATTTTAACAAATTCTAAATTCAACAATACAAGTACTATTATGCAGTAAAAAATACGCATAACAACTACTCAAACTGTGAACGATTTAAAAATAACACTTACAATTAGTTATATTAAATAGCATAACCTTATGTGATTAATACGTTTGAACGTCATAGCAACGTGAGGAAATAACATGTTATAAATCGTATAAATATAAATTAAATATCGATAAAATATAAATTAAATATAGTATCGTATAAATATAAATTAAATATAATATTAAAATTAATATAATATAATATTTAAATATTGTATAAATATAAATATTAAAATTATATATTAAATATAAATTAATATAAATTAAATATAATATATTAAATTAAATATAATATTGTATAAATATAAATATAAATTTATAAGTTTAATTTATTAATTATTATAAATGATTGGAAGAAATAATTCGGATAAGTGTCACTTAAGAAATTATTTCGGATAAGTGTAAATTAAGAAATTACTTTTTATCTCTGCACACAGCATTTCTTTTTTATTCATCACACCTTGGACATACACACCATACTATTCGTTCTTCTGTTTTCTCTAATTCCCAATACACAACATTCCAACCTTTGTTGCTACGCTCGTCAACATTCATAATGCATCAGTCTAACAATAATTATTATAATTAATAATAATTAAATTATATAAATTACTTTAAAAAGATTACCGACTAATAGATACAAATTATAAAAATCAATCAAGATTACTGATTTATTTGAACAATGATTAATTGATTAACACTAGAACTACCGATCAAAGCATAATATTTGTGACAAAGAAATTAAAATGTAAGATACAAGTAAAAATTAATAACACTATAAAGAACCCAAATTTCTGTTAATATATTTTATTAAATCACGAGTATCTAAAAATACGCTTTTGTAAATGGATAAAATTTCCATAGAAAATTATAAATTGGTCATTTTGGCCACTTTGGTAGTTCTGGTGTTAATGATTACCATAATTACTATTTAGTGATTGATTATAGAAATGATTACAAAGTAATTGATTATTGCCCAACTTTGTCTTTAAAGTACATTATTTAATGTGACTAATTTTAAAGTAATGTGATTTGACAAGTGACAATCTAAAAAAGCGAAATCTGACGACCTTGCGAACCAAACTACTGTCGCAATTGTACGCGTTGCTTTTAATAAATTTGTCACACTTCGAACTCGATTTTCTCATAAACGAGACGTCGTATGAAATTGTTTCATTCTCGTTTTTGTCGATTTATTTTTGTACATAGAGTCTCCTGACAGATTGTGCCACGTTTTCATATAACTCCTTTTTTTACAAGAGGAAGCATCCTTAAATTAGGCTCGAAAAATCTTCTACTGTTTCACAGTTATAGTCTGTTCCATATTCATAGAACACTCTGTATATATATTTTCATACATATTATTATACCATACGCAATGTGTGCATTTTTGCACACTTCGAATTTCCTATAAATATTTCCTATAAAAATTCGTAGTTTAAACATTATCCACCTTTAATGGAAACGACAGAGAAAGAAAGGGAGAGAGAGAAAGAGAGAGAGAACTGATAGCAAGAAGCAGGCAAAAGCGTGCTGATAGGATTGACCTATAAATTAGAGCATCGGCCGCGAATAGCCGTAAGAATACAAAATGAAAGGAAGCTTTGCGTAGCTCTCGATTCCGTGGAAAAGTAGACAAATAGGATGAGCGAAGCGATTCGTCGAAAAACCGAGAAAAGACACGTCGTGTTAATAAAATATTCCGAGTGCTGCGCATACTGGCCTGGATTCTCTCTCTCTCTCTCTCTCTCTCTCTGGTCTTCGAGAAATGTGTCAAAATGCGAAAGGTATCGAAGCGCTATAGCTTTCTTACTTTATTGTTTTTTTTTTCGTACGACTGATAAATAGATGGCAAAGAGCGAATAACATATAGTGAAGAGTACAACCGAACCAATAATCATACGTTTCATGTAAATTATTCTTCATTGCCGTTAAAAACTGACATTAACGCAACGTTTCATTTGTGATTCCTTTCGACGAATTTACATTGTTAACTTCTATTTCTAGTATTTCTAGTATTTAATTTCTTTAATAATTTTTTTTTCCTTTAATAATTTAAACTTAAACAATTCTTTTAAGCTTTCTAATGTTTAATTTCGTTAATTTCTTTAACCTTTGATGATTAATTTAATATCTCAATCATGAAAGTAAATTCCAAATGTGTTAATAGATATTTTTTAATAATAGAACAGCCACATTTCTAATACGGAGAAAATAATTAAGTTACTTCAATTATTTAAGAATGTTACATATTCTTACTTCAAATCATCGAATTTCTTCTTTTCGTTCGTTGTTTCATTCATCTTTATCTTTGTTAATCATAAATAGGCTCGTATTTTAGTAAATTCTTTTCGCAATTACGAAAAGCACTCATTTTAATCCATCGCCGAAATTATTTCCGCAACTATGCTATACATTATTTAAAAAAATGTTTGAAATAAAATATGTACTATTTCGAATTGTATTTTTTTTTTTTTTTTTTACCGATGCAATTTCTGATATTCTTTATATGTACGTCGAAAAGTTATTAGTTTAGGAGATATTTTAATTTTTATTTTGCAAAATCTATCATGTGAAAGATAGGAACGATACTGTTTC